AAAATCAAGAATCTTGAAAAGGGAACCTTATGCTTCAAAGCGATGTGGATGTGGGTTTCGAATAAGGGCAATTGTGCCAATTTCTAATTACAATGAGAAAGATAAAACCTTTGTATATCAAGAAGAGGGAATGGCTGTTTTCAAGCTCTATGCTGTTCATTCAGGGCATGAACCTGGTCCATTAGATGGAAATGCAAGAATCATGCATAGAATTGTTGGTCATAAAGGCGGATTGTTAACAGATCAAGATTTGGTTTATGGAATGAGTGATGAAACTGATAATGAAAACTTCATGGGGAAAGATGATAGTGATATGCAACATACGGTTTTGCAGCAAGTAAAGGAGTTAAAGAATGAAGTTGGGCTTCTCGAAGCGAAAATTACCAAAATGCCACCCGAGCTTTTGAGTTCCGTGTCTCAAGAATTGTTTGATGTGATAAACAAAGTTAGAAACGTAGGAGAGTATGGATCAAAATCATTAGGGCTAATGTCTGATAATGATTTGGTAGATTGGAGTGGACATCAAAGGATTTATGGAGATGGAAAAGATACGGATTTGATCGAAGATGATGACGACAGTTTTGAACGGACACTTGGCGATGTTGGATCTTGGGATGACACCTGTAAACCCGAAAAATGGCTGAAATGCAATGGATTTGATGAAGATTCCAAACTTACAAAACCCATAAGACATGATGAAACAGAAACAGATAGTCTTGTTGGTTTGCAAGTTGACAGTTTCTACCCTGAGAATCCTAAATGGTATGATTCCCCTTGTGGTTTGGACCCTGGAATGGAATGTGGGAGCAATGGATTCCGACATGGGGAGATTGTGTAGAAAGTGATAACTTAATGATGATGAGTTTAGTAGGTGTTATTTGTGGGTGGGTGTATATTTGTGTACACAGAAGAATGAAGCGGCTTATATGCTTTATTTAGAGGTCTTTGCTGCTTGTGACTATGTAAAGTATAGCCATTTGGGCTTCTTTGCACATACTTCACTGTGACTATATCTTAATTGTGTTGTGAACTTTAATTTAGGACTTCATTTATTACATCAATGAACCTATTATTTTCTTCCAATTCATGTCTTTTTTGGTTTTTGTTCCTTTTTTCATATAATTCTCAAGTATGTTGCTATGATCAAAATATTTGGTAAAGTACACGTTTCTATTTCTTTCTATTAAACCTTTCAAAGAAGAGTCATACTCAGGAGGCACACCTTTTTCTTTTGATACATTATATCAGTAACAGTTGAGCCTTCTATAATCTGTTATGGAGAATGGACTTTTTGTCAGGTGGAATAACAAAAATGTGAGCTGGTTTTGCAAACAACAGAAATGGGAGTCTTTTTTGCTGCTTTGTGCATGGAGGTTCTATAAGGTTCCCCCTTAGGGTTATATCTATACATTTTCTCTCTGATTGTTGTTATCTGCAGACCTTTGTATTGTATTGTATGATGTTCACTTAGGATAACATGATGATGATGATGATCATGGATGATGGGTGTTTTGGACATTTCAAATGAGAGAGGAATGGTTGGGTAACCGAATATCATGAAGATGTTATCTTGTTGAAGAAGTAGAGAAGTAAATAACTTATTTGATCATGTATATGTATCGCAATTGATTGTATATGATAGATGTCAAGATTGGTCTCTATCTGTATAGAAAAAAGAAAAAAAGTAATTTTTGGTATTTTTTTTAGTCAAAATAAAGTAGCTTCCAACCAAATAAGTTGGTTTAAAAAACAAATCTACCAACCACCAATTGAGATATCTGGCATATGACTGATTGATAAAATCAGTTAAAAATAAATTATAATCAAATCATGTGACAATCATGCTCTTACTGAATCATAGTTTAGATTAGTTCGTGTCTCACACGGATGCACATGCACACTCGCACACAAACAAACATGCACATGCTCTTACTGAATCTGGCCTCCCTTCAAATCACAGTCGTCGGATGTACTCGATACAGGGGCGTTATTGACTCATATTGTGCTTCAGTCTTGTACTTTCTGCCTTGTTTTTTGTATCTTAGTCTAAGTTGTTTCATTACATGTAGTGATGTACATAGTAACATCCTCATTTTCTATACCCCTCATGTTTGGTGGATGGTTGTTGCGGTTGTATGTAACCTGAATGTATTGAATGAAATACAATTTTTCAAGCAATTGTAATTGAATTGTAAAAATTATCTAGTCATTTATTTGTACAAGCATTTGATGCACAAGAATGTTTTTGGTGAAATGTGACACATCACACAAGTATTGCTTAATAGTTACTATTTGGTTCCTAGGAAGTGTCGTGAAATGTGTATAGGGTTGGTGCGAATGGTCGCTACAAATGAAAATTACCATCCCTCAATTGAAAATTCCTGTGAAATCATACTGATATTCATGTTTCCCTCATCTTCAACCTATTTTCAGAAAACCTAATTTCGCCCTCACTGCCGGACTTCAGGTACGATCTACCTCCAGTGAGTTCGTCGCATCCATCGCCTGCTGCGATATTAACCTTCAACTAATCTCCGATCGACGCCCACTAATCGTTCAATTGATTTTAATTTGTGCTTACAGGTCTCGCCATCCATCTCCTGGTGCGATTTTCTTTTATGCTGTGTGCCTGTGTTAAAGGAGCGATATGAGTTTATTGTGTTACTGGTGTTATACTGAACATTTGAGTTGCACTTATTTATTTAGTTGCTTTTAAGTTACACTTGTTTGCTTGCTATTGTTTAGGTGCTCCCCAAAAGGCCAGAGGTTATAGCCAAAAAGACGAAACATGGAAACAGATTCACAAAGGGGGTCTGTTTGCTTATTTTAATGAATCTTGAAATAAGTACCAAGATTAGAAACTTTCAGGGATCAAATTCGATATGAAACCTTGAAGTAAGATCAAAATAGAAAAAAAAAAAATTTAATTTTGGAATAAATATGGTATACTTTAGAAAGTACATGGACTGTGTTTCTAATTTACTCTTCTTTTTATAATGTATGATGTGAGAGACTATATCGTTTGCAGAGGACACGATTTCAGCAAAAACGTCTTCATTGAACAAACTGCTATAGTTTTGTGTGCAAATTATGGAAGCTCTAGGTTTATCCACTTATTATTATACATTGTTAATGACATTCTCAGTGCGAAAGAGATTAAGTGAATACCATATCTGTTGTCTAAGGGATCAAAAAATGGCTGATTTGGAGGTGGGTATATTATACAATCGTATACTTTTTTCATTGTAAAAGAAATCGGTTGATATTTTATTATTGTGCATTTTTTTTATAGGCATTGCCAAAAGGGAAGTTGTTTTGCTTCACAGATTGTAAGAGAATTCATTATGTTTTGCAAAATTTGCTAACTCAAAATCTGGAGATTGTTGATGATGACCTATTGACTTTTACGAGGGAGAAGCAAAAGGATAAGGAGGAGGGGGACAAGGACAAAAATGTAATTTCTAAAATGAAATTTGATCTTTGAAGTGAGAAGAATGCTACCAATGAAACGAGGCCCATGCTTACACAAACAATTGAGGTTGTTTGCAACCATAAAACGAAAAATTATAATCTAATAACTACAATTAATAGTTCATATCTTTCGGTAGCTTTTACCAACATACAAATGCGATACAAGATGAATTTTTTTATAGATACAATATACAACACCTTCCATATGGCTTATGATATTTGTAACTGTGATAAATTTGATAAGTATTTTTATCACACCATACAAAGCTTTTTTTAATGGCAAAAGTAAATAAATAAAACAAAAAAAAATCAACAAGAAGCAAGAAGTTGGAGTACATACTACATAGTACAAACAAACTAAATCAGTCAAAATAGAGGCCAGAATAAAATAAAATAACAACAGCCGAAAAAAAAACCAACCAAACATGGGCAAAAGTGTCAAAATGGTTTTTTGGGAAACAACCCAACACGACGTATATAGTTGGGCAAATCTTTGGAGCAAATCTTTCCAAGGCAAATTAAGGGCAAAATGGACTTTTTTTTGGTAAAAACATGTATAGTTGGGCAAAATGGATTTGTTTTGGTAAAAACTTGTATATTTGTCCATGTAATGACATAAGAACATTGCAAGGCCAAAATGTACTTTTTTGGTAAAAACATGTATAGTTGGGCAAAATGGATATGTTTTGGTAAAAACATGTATAGTTGTCCATGTAATGACATAAGAACATTGCAACACCATCTCTTGATAACAAAGTATGATCTTTCAAAACAAAGAACAGACCAAAACTTAATATATATATATATATATATATATATATATATATATATATATATATATATATATATATATATATATATATATATATATATATATATATATATATATATATATATATATATATATATATATATATATATATATATATATGGAAAAGTGAATATACCCTTAAGGGTATATAAGCTTAGGTACCCAAACTCACTATAATATATCGTTTTGTTTGATATATTTATTATAATGTTCTTCAACTTCAATCCTTAACTTGATTTACTTTCAAGATTTCATTATCATCTTCCTCCTACATCACATCTTTTTGACGAACATCAATTAAGCTATATATATTATAGTTGAAAATGAAAATTATGTAAAAGGAAAATAAATATGAAATTTATAAAAATCTTTGAATGAAATCAACTTAGAAGTTGAATTATAAGAACATTAGACAATTACAATGTATATATATATGATACAAAACGGTGTAGTATGGTGAGTTTGGGTACCTAAGCTTATATACCCTTAAGGGTATATTCACTTTTTCCATATATATATATATATATATATATATATATATATATATATATATATATATATATATATATATATATATATATATATATATATATATATTTGAATTTTTGAAGAAGTAAAGAACTAGGATCACATCATAGTCACATAGCTTGAATTTTTTGTAGTTTCAAATAATTATCAAAGAACAAAAGAGAAACTTACAAAGTAATCGTTGGTGTCTGACAATTTGAAATTTTATTATCAAATCGAAAGAATAAGTACAACAGAAACAAGTATCAAAAAAATTAGATACATGAGCCCAGATCAAATATCGATCAGATATCAGAATCAAATACTTTGGTTACACTATTTAGAAATTCGAATCAAACGTTGGAATAACAAGTCGTTCAAAAAAATGTTGAATTAACAATTTGTTCCTGCATCTTTTTGTTCGATCTTTATGTAATTTCACAATTTTGAATCCAATGATGACTTGTTGCTGATGCCACAAATTATGGTAACAATTTGATTAAACAATAACCAAATAGTAGTTACAAGATACAAGAAACATGTATTTTTTAAAAAGTACTAAAACACCATTTTGATGTCATGCTTGTTGAATGGGCTGGCGATGAGGTTTTGGAGCTGCACAAACCAAAAGGGCACATTATTTGATAAACTAACAATATGACTCAAAAGGTAAATGGTTAATTAAGAATACATATGTAAATACCATTAGGGTTTCCAAGTTCATAAAAGTTTCTAAAAAGAGAAACTGCTTCTTCACCCATTATCCCACCCGTGCATTTGTAACTTTTTCTCCCAACATCTTCACCACTATCGGATGTAGTTGTATTTGTATGCAAGGATAATATTGATCCACACCCTCCAAATTTATCATTTGCACAACCATAGTACACCTCTTTTATACCTACATCCATGTATAAAAAAAAAATACTACCAGTCTTATTTTTGTCATGTGTAACAAATGCAGCCTATGGTGTGTTAGTTTAAATAAGAGTACCAATAAATGATAAGGCAGATGCACACATTATACATGGTTCACATGTAACATAAAGATAGCATTTTGAGAACATCTCAACAACTTCATGTTTTGTAAGTCCCTTTTCTTTCCACTCCTCAAGCAAAACATCAATAGCTTCCATTTCAGCGTGTCTTGTAGCCTGCATTTTAGAGGCCAATTTGCTAGTGTTAATATAATTGTAAGTTGAACAGAGTTACAAATAGAAAAAAAAAATGTTATAGAAGTATACATTTCTTGTTTCATTAGTCCGATTTCTTCCACATGATATGACCTTCTCATCCATAACAATAACGCAGCTGTTACATGAGAAAGAAATTGGTTTATACATGTCAAATGTTGGTCAAAGTACCAAAGACTTTGATAACCAGAGAACATAGACAAAAAGAGATGTACCCCACAGGCACCTCAAGATTATCAAATGCAATTTTAGCCTGAAAAAAGAAAAAGAAAAAAAGAATAGGTAGTTGTTTGTTGATATATAATAATATTGAAGTAATTTCATATGGTGCAGAAAAATTTGATTATACAGATAGTTTGATCAACGTGTTGGATGATTAACTAAATCAATGCCTACATCACCTTTTGATAACGAGATAATTCGAAATTTGTGTGGCCTGAATCTATACCATCAAGGGAAATGCATACCTGTTCTAATGCCAGCTTCATAAATGCAACAACTTCTGGCATTTCTCCCATCTTGATATGAGCTGAAATAAAATAAACAGACATGGAAAAAAGGGAAAAGAGATAAGAGCAACATTTCACAAGAATGTGAGTGCGTTGTGCATTGTGCATATATCCTTTGTTACACATGCATTGCAAGCAAATGATGTTATCAATTACCTAAACGAAATGAAGTCATATTTTTTCATTCATACCTGGAGCCAACTTCTAAATATCGAAGCCGAAGTTCACTTAGACATATCATCAAACATCTAGAGTGCACAACCAGCGATTGGCTACAGAATTAGTTTCAGAACGGTGAACTGCACAATTCAAGCCCTCAAGGTCTTGGTGTAGAGCCTCTATGATTTATAAGAGAGGCAAATCAAGCAAGGGCTTCGTTGGCTATTGGATTATTAAAAGCCAAAACGGCTAAAGTGATAACTGGATCGGCCTCCTATGGTTTATGCGAAGCTCTCAGGAGCGCTAAGCCGCCAATATTTTAATCGCCTTGTGGGTGAATAACAATGACGAGCCGCGAGATGCCTTTATGAATATTATGATGACCAGGATAATGCAAAATAGGGATGGCAAAAAAATTCTGGACCGGGAAACCCGATATATATATATATATATATATATATATATATATATATATATATATATATATATATATATATATATATATATATATATATATATATATATATATATATATATATATATATATGGAAAAGTGAATATACCCTTAAAGGTATATAAGCTTAGGTACCCAAACTCATCATACTACGTCGTTTTGTATCATATAATATGTTCTAATCGTCTAATGTTCTTATGATTTAAGTTCTAACTTGATTTATTTCCATTATTTTTATACATTACACAATTATCTTCTTATATAGTTCGCATTTTTAACTATACTATATATAACTTAGTAGGTGTTCGGAAAAAATATGTGATATAAAAGAAAGATAATAGTGAAATTTCGAAAAACTTAAAAGTAAATCAAGTTATGGATTGAAATTTAAGAACGTTATAATAAATATATGAAGCTAAACGATATATTATAGTGTGTTTGGATACCTAAGTTTATATATCCTAGGTATATTCACTTTTCCCATATATATATATATATATATATATATATATATATATATATATATATATATATATATATATATATATATATATATAACTTTTAGATGTTAATTGCATGCGTTCAAAGATAAAATATTTATTGTGAAAAATCTTTTTAGTTATTAACGCTCTGATATAAATGATCATTTTTTTATGTTTTAATGTATTATACTAAACTTAAATCAAATAATTTTTAATGTAACATTCAGTTTATTTTATTAGACAAAACTGCAAAAATGGTCCCTGTGGTATGCATTTTTTTTTTTTTTTTGGTTTTACTTCAAACCATAATTTTTTTGGATTGGTGGTCATTTTGGCCATGTTTGTATGTACATTTGGTCCCTCGTAAAAATGAAATGATTATAATGCCCTTCTAATATATTCTTTTATTTTTTTTCTATTTAATTTAAATGAAAAAGAAAATAATTAATTAAATTGGGCCCACTTCTCTCTCTCTCTCTCTCTCTCTCTCTCTCTCTCTCTCTCCATATATCATGTTGTTGATTATCTAGGATGATTTATGATTGTTTTGTTTCTTTTCGTATGCAAATTTTTAAGATTATGAATTTGGCAAATGAGCTTCTTCCTCCATTACCTAATAGAACCATAACACTTCCTGCTAGCAAGAATCTATATGTAAAAGGGTCTCTTTTGAAGAAATCAAATGTTGGAAGTTCTAGCAAGCAAGAAGAAACGAGTGGAGGTACACCTGAGATTTCAGCTTGGAAGAAGTTGTTAACTGAGCAGCCTGAGCTTTTGCAGCAATCTGGAGACGATTTCTCCCCCTCTACGTCACCACCAAAAATGTGGACCACCATCGGAAATACAATCACCATAGCCGATTACTCTCCCTACGCAATCCAGAGTCGTTATATGAATCCAGGCTTCATTGATCAGCCTGCACAATCGAGTCCACCTTCTCCTTAAACGCGATTTCTTACTGGTAACCACTTTCCGCAAAAGCCTAACGCCACAATCACCACGAATTGAATCCAATTTGAAAAGCAAAGACATTATGGTTTTGTTCACCTTCAACCGCTCCTTTGCATCTCTACGAATCAAATCAATAACTTCGATATCGTTAATTCTGCTGGTATGTGTTGTGTTTGGTGGACTGGCATAGATCGTGATAGTTTTTGAATGGAGTAGTTTCTGAAAATCGGACCTCTGTTCATCGTCGATTACCGCTAGTCCCAATGAAAATGATGAAATCTGTAAGTATCTTACTAAATTTGATGTGTAAAATTCTAATGTCGTGAACATATTTGGTACAAATGTTAATAGGGGAAGAAATCATCTCACCACCATCATCAGCCTCGCTCCACCATTACACTAGCCGAGAACCATGGCATTGGGTTGAACGAGTAATCAAGGGTTCCAGATGCTTCAGTGGTTCTCAAATATGAAGCTGTAAGAGCATGATGAAAAAAGGAAGGAGAGGATATCGGTTGTGGGAGTCGATTGATTGGTGGTGGCGTTGGTTTACCGGAGAAGGTGGGTTAGTGTGTTGAGTTGTTGGGGGAGGGTGAGACGAAGGTGTGAGAGAGAGAGAGAGAGAGGTAGGCCCGATTTTATATTTAATAATAAAATAATAATAATTTTAAAAAGTAAAAGAAAAATGAAAATTAAATTCATAAGGGTATAACAGTCTTTTTAGTTTGGACAGGGACCAAAATTGCATGTAAACTAGCTTAAAAGGACCACCAATCCAAAAAAGTCGAGGTTTGGACTAAAACCCCCAAAAAATGTATACTAAAGGGACCATTTTTGCAATTTTGTCATTTTATTAAAGTGATGCATCATATTTTTAATTTTAAAGATATGCTAGAACATGTATTTTTATAAGATATTGGGGTACCCTAAAACGGAATAAAGATTTCGTTATGAATTGTTGTAAACCCGATAAAATACCCGAGTATAATAGTGAAGAAAGCAAACACAACCATCATCAATATAATTGAAAGAGTTACATCATAGAGTAAGTTTACATGTTTCAAAATCAATTACATTATGATGACAAAATAAGTTTTGAATTTATCGCTTTAGCATCCCGTCCTCGAAAGCAGTTGTTTTACCTGTTTAGTAATTTTCTGAGAATACAAGTTGTTTGAAAAAGTGTCAACACAAAGGTTGGTGAGTTCATAAGAGTTTTAATTGAGAAATAAACTGTTTTTCTTTGTAAAAGCAATTAAGTTGTTCCAGAAAATCCGATATTTTCCTCAAAATGTGAAATGTACGTTTCTATGTTATGAAGTAGTGCATCCTAGAATTCCCTATAGTTTCCTTCTATAATCTCCTTGTGTATATAAGTTATATAAAATTAAAGTTAGATAAAATGTCGAATGTAATGGGTCTGCCCTAGGGCCACAACCAAACGAGGAACAAGAAATAAGGCGGACCCACTAATTCTAGGTCAATCACGACTAGGTTCTATATAACTCTATCATATACACTTAGAAATTATAGTTGAAAACTAACAATTCTAGATTGAATGTAGTCTTAAAATCAAAGATCGAAACCAAATCCTAGTGTAGTATAAGAAATAGTTAGTGACTGTGAACATAAACTATACATATCATAGTTCATCGGATAGTGATAGTGACTAGTGAACATGAACTATGCATATTATAGTTTACCAAATATGATGGTGATGGTGAATATAAACTATACATATCACATTTCATCAAATAGCGATACCGCTAGTGAACATGAACTATGCATATTATAACTTATCAAAAGTGGTGGTGATGGTGAATCCCTTCTTGTAATAATTTCGTAGTGTAGATGAAACATAAACTATACCTATTATAGTTTATCACATTGTTTGTAATGTATATACGTCCTAACTGTACCGATTATAGCTAGCATATTCGTTTGTGGGGGGTATAATAGACTTAACTATACTTATTATAGTTTATCATAATTATTCTTAGTGGTAGCATCCCTATTGTATATGTAATACCTTTAGTAATGTGTTTGTTATGTAAATGAATCACCAACTATACCTTTTATAGTTTATCAATTATTTGTTCGGGTAGTGAGCATAAACTATACTTGTCATAGTTTACCAATGTTTGTATTTAATGGATGTAGATTTGTTTATAACAATTTATCAATTACTATGCTTAATATAGCAAAAATCCATTTGTTAACTGATGTATGTGTATATGACAAGACAAAATGACATATATGGTAGTAACATATCATCACATGAAGGTTACACACCTTGCTCAACAAGTTACAAGGTGTAAATGAAATTGAAAGCATTTTTCAAAAATTACCATTTCTATTATATTCTTAGAAAATTTGTAGAAAAATCATTAAAGGTCCAAATCAAAATCCGTGAATTCTGAGGGTTTGGAAAATGAGTCTAGTTTGTTCACAATTTTTATTATGAATTTTAATGACCTCCAACTTGTGTGAAAAAGTCCATAATCACAGACTGGTCCGGATTGATGTTTGAAATGATAGGCAGTTTTGTACAAATCACCAAAAATAGTAGAAAAATCGTATGGAGATGTGCAAATAGTCATTTTAAAACCAAGAGCTGGAAATACTTGCACCTAAAACAGTTTTGAAAACTAAAGTGTTTAAGTTGTCCAAAACAGTCCGTGAATGGAGTCCAACATTTCTGATGAAAGCTATTAGAAAAGTTTAGTTATGTTCTTGGTGTTTTAACTTGTATCCCCCCCCCCACCCTAAAAACTTGAGAAAAAATGAAAATGTAGGGGTATGAACTCACCTTGAGTGATTTCAGTGGTTGAATGTTGAAGAAGAGAAGTGTTCAACTCAAGAACACTTGAAGGATTGCTTTGAAGATTCAAGAATCTAACACAATAATGATGGAGTTTGTGTAAGACATCAATGATTTGAGTAGAATGAAAGGTAATAACCATAAATAGGGTGATGATACTTACCAAAATGAAGGAGAAAAGCTGGAAAATGCCTTGGAAATCTCGAATTTGTGTGAGAGAATTTGAGAGAAAAGTGGTGTTTGATTTGTGGAGGAATGAGTGAAGTGAGTGAAATGAAGAGAGAGGGAGAGAGTCTTTCAGCTCTTTGGACGTGGGAGAGGCTGTAAATTGTGTGGAAAGGTACAAGGAAGTGACAAGGTATGGTGGGGAGGTGTGTGGGTTAGTCATGGAGTGGGGGTGGTGGTTGCTTGTGTCATAAATCAAAGATAAGTCAACACTCCACCACAAGATCTCATTTAATAGATTTTTATTCTTAAATATGAATTTCCCTAAAAATATGTTTAAATTATGAATATTTAGGGTTTTATATGTTAAAATATGATTTTTGGAGAAAATCCCACGTTAAAATAATTAAAAACGGGCTTAAAATGTTAAAAATGTTGAAAACCGGGTAGAAAGTGTTGAAATCCGAAGTTCAGGACCGGAGGTGCTAAGGCTCGGTCATCAGCAGCCTAATCCGAAGTGGCTAGGTCGCATGACTGCGGTCCGAAGGAAGGAAGCTTCGGTCCGAGGGGAGTCCTGATGCGGTGCGTGGTTGCGGCTCGCTGGCTGCGGCTCGCCTGCTGCGGTCGGGGCTGCGTGAAAGACCCAAACTTTCATACTTCACAATATCATTACTCCAAAACATGCTATTTTCATATTCATAAAAGCAATATTTTACATTGATAAAGGGAATTACAAACTATTGGATACAAACCTTCTATTACAAAGTGTTATATATATTACATAACTACCAAGGATATTGTAATTTATACAAACATAAACTGTAGTACAAAAGTACTATTACAAACTATTCTACATCTTTCAATAGTATGTAAATATACTAGTTACTTATCACCTGCAATTGTTAAACATTGATAGGGTAAGCGGTGGCGCTTAGTGAGTTCAAAAATAAATACAATATAATGTTATGCCATATATATACTTCAATGTGGCAAAAGCAAAGAGGAACAACAAGATGTATGTGAGATCATGTGACAAGCGTTCATATCAATAAAAGACTTTATTCAAAGATATACTTTTCAATTCTTGATATATATCAATAAAGCTTTGGCCCAAATGGCATAGAAGACATGCAATTTTTGATTAACATCTTGTTAGATTTCAGGCTTATAGTCCTGTCTAACCATTTGCCAATGCCATAGAATAGAAGTCATTCTCTTACGGAGACATGCTCTATATGGCCAGAGGCTACGTACCAGTACCAATGTGAATCTAAGTCCTTTCACTGATCACATGGTCAAAGGTATTACAATTGCTATAAACATAGCGAATAACACGAGAAAATAACTCAGAATAATAACACTGAAAAGCA